AACGGCGGCTGGCCGACAAGCATTTCGTAAAGCAAAACGCCATAAGCCCACCAATCTACCGATTTGCCGTAGGGTTGATATAGAATGATCTGTTGACAAAAAATAATAGTGAAATAAGTGTAAGTGAAAATATAACTAGAAGAGTTCAAAGAGTTGAAGCGGTTGCCGAAATAGCTTATATAAGTTCTTCGAAATTGTGTCAGACTCAATAATGGAGTATATGAGTTCTAATGCTGTCGGTGTGGTTTTGCGAAAGTGATTGCAGTTTTCAGAGATAAGTAGTATTTATAAACATGTAGCTCTCCGGTTTCACCGAATGACTTTTACACGTTAAAGGCGGTGAAGTTATAGTATTTATTTTTATTAAAGACAAAGGATATAATTTCTTCGTCTGCTCATATAGGGTTAACTAGATGGATTCAAAGATCCACACGGGCTGATATATCTAGTCCTTGGTGAAGCCATAAGAAAGAAGAACTCCTCTGTTCGAACTTATAAGTTAGCAAAACGATTAGTAGCCAAAACAAATTTGAATAGACGTTCAATTTTCGCTCCCGTCAGTTCGGAAGGTATGTGCTCCCAAGTGTTTAAGTATTAACCTCTTGAACGCTGAGCAGTCCAGAAGAAAGTGCTGCGTTGTTTCCACCTCATTTTCCTCGATGCAGCTTCTGCAAGTAACGGCTGATAAGATTCCCAACCATACTGCATGGACAACAATAGGGCAGTGGCCTGTTAAAAGCCTCACAACTAAGGAGAGGCTAATCTTTCTGAGGGCAGAAAGATCACTACATCTCTTGCGATGGATCTTGGGCCAAAAGGCTTTTGCTGCAGCATATGTACCGATGGTGGCCCAACGCTAACTAAGCTTCCACGAAGGCTAGCTATTTAGTAGTAAATATAATAGTCTTATCACCAAGACATTCGATTCTTCGAGCAAGGTTAGACACTCTTCGTCCAATTCTGAACGAACAGCTAATGAGTTCAAGGCTAGTATCGCCGCTCTGCTATCTGAGTGAATGGTCTCTAAAGGAGGTTGCGCTCCGGAGCAGTAGATCTGCTACTACCTTAATGGCTGCAACCACGGCTTGGAAAACACTACAATAGTCACTAAGTCTGACGTTGGAGTTAATAGAGAGCTCCTGACAGTAAACCCCTCCAATTTTCGCAGCCGACGATGCCTATGGGTACAGATAAAATGGTGTTAAGTACTATGGTTGGAGTGCACTTGCTGCTCAGCGCCGCCCGTTAAAAAATTTCTTGTTTATTTTCAAGTGTGGTGTAGAATAAATGAGCTTGACTATGAGGTCGTAGAACCAGAAGACCACTTTCGGTGGAAGATCCCACCAATAGCCTCTCAGCCATTTCTGATGAGTATCACCCCCTCATACTAAGGTGTCAGAATGCCGCAACCACCAGCTCAGGGTTCAAAGGTAAAGACGTCTAAGAGTTGAAAGGCTTTGAACGTCGCAGGTCATTTAGCATGGACCAACTTGGAGGCGACCAGCACTTCACACCCACCTGTGAACTTGTATGAGCAATAACCGTGTCTCTTATACACATCTAGATGTGTATAAGAGACAGGTAAAAGGACCAGAGAATGAACCGCCAGAGTTCGCTTTGGCGACATCATGATCCAAGTGATCCGGTATGAAATTAAAATGTGTGAGGCTATTCGAGTGTTCAGATGCGACTTCTTTTAAGAAACCAGGTTCTCTAAGTCTGATTGCAATTTTCGCAGTCGACGATGCCTATGGGTACGGATAAAATGGCGTTAAGTGCTATGGTTGGAGTGGACTTGCTGCTGAGCGCCGCCCGTTGAAAATTTTCTAGTTTCTTTTCAAGTGTGGTATAGAATAAATGGGCTTGACTATGAGGTCGTAGATCCAGAAGACCACTTTCGGTGGAAGATCCCACCAATAGCCTCTCAGCCATTTCTGATGAGTATCACCCCCTCATACTAAGGTGTCAGAATGCCGCAACCACCAGCTCAGAGTTCAAAGGTAAAGCCGTCTACGAGTTGAAAGGCTTTGCAGGTCACAGGCCATTTAGAATGGACCACCTTGGAGCGACCAGCACTTCACATCCACCTGTGAACTTGTATGAGCAATAGTCTTCCTGTGGAATAACAGAAAAGAATTCTCACATGAAGAAATGGAAAGTGTTCAGTGTATGAGCGCTTTAAATGAGTTTCGTTCAAAAATAGAATACTCGAATCGCATTAAGGAATGCAACATGCAGCTTATCTAATGAATAGACTTTCTTTGAATAAAAGCTTTCTATTTCTTGCTGACCGCCGCTGATGTTATTGCGGCAGTAGACTTGAGTCTCAAAATTGTTTTGCTGATAAATAATCAAAACTGGCGCGCCTCAAAATCCGCAACCACTGACACATCGTATTGAATCGCAACCGACATTAGTGTCGGCAGACACACCGACGTACACTCAGGCACACTTAAACAACATTTGTGATTAGCTTTGAAATGAAATCGAAATTTTAGTTCCAATTATTCTAGGAACAACTTACAACAATATTCACAAACACACCCATCAGTTTCCCTTTCAATGAGCATGTTGTTTATATTTTTACTCACCTCGGGTGCTATGTAGTCGGGTGTGCCGCAGAATGTCTTTGTTGTCTTATCACCAATAATATTCTCCTTACACATGCCAAAGTCGGCAATTTTAATATGACCATCGGCATCCAAGAGAACATTGTCCAATTTCAAATCCCGATACAAAATGCCTTTACTGTGTAGAAA